AGCAAGGGTTGCTGCAACGTTCATGAGTGCTTATGAACTGGTTTTGAGCATTGGAATAAACCCGCGCTTGCTGGAATCACCTTATGGAATACGACATAAAAGGTGATCGCAAGACGATAATATCATATAGTCTTAAAACCTAGATATATGGTTTATTATTTGTTAATTGATTGTGCATTGATAATGCGAAAACGCATCAGTAACTTGATGTTATAAAACGCATTGTTGTGTATAGTTGGTTAATGAATAAGTAAATGCATATAAGTCGAAGTTTATCTGTAAATTTTATCCTAAGAGGGTAGAAGAGATATCTTGGCCACTCGATGATTTGATTTGACTTATGTGCCGGGCCCGGTCAGAACTGAATTGATGTGTTCGATTAAGTTCTATGTCAAATAAATCGAAGATCGAGAAATCTAAATGCTAGACTAACCATTCCATAGGATTGTCAGCATGATATCTAACAGAGGACTGTACGATCCCTTATCTAAAGGACAAGATTGATTAGATCAGAGTTGACAGCGTCTTTGAGAGCTACGATTGCAAACCGTATTGTACTTGTATAGTTACTAGACTTATCCAAGTGGGAGACTGTTGGAATAGTGTCTAAGGCTATAACTATATTCGGTGGTGCATGGTCCTTTTGGGTTGCCTTCACCATAGCAACTTGAAGGATGATTTGTTAAGAGAGAGTAAATATTATAAGGAATAATATTTAGCTATTTGATTAATATAAGTCATAAATTAATTGGTATTAATTTGGTGACTTAAAGAGATTAATTAAATAAGAGGGTATAAACTGTCAATTGTTTGATAGTTAGACTTTAGACTATAAATCCATTAGGATGGACCTTGGATGGATTCTAAGAGCTTTAGGATAGCTCAAATCGTCCATATGGTTATCTATAGAATGGATTTGGATAGCCTTAAGAGAAGATTATCCAATTAGGGTTTAGGGTGAAACCCTTAAGGAGTCTAAAGGTATAAATAGGCCCTTGGGATGTGGAATTCGTGTACAACCTTTCAGAACCTTAAGCAAGGAACCTCTGGTCGAATTCCATCCCCTCTCCTCTCTCCTAAATCATCTTGCTTGCTATTGGTGTTTGTAAGCCATTAGAGGAGTGACAATTGTGACTCTAGAAGCTCCAAGACAACCAAGATCAACAAGGGATTCAAAGGTATGATTCTAGATCTGTTTTAATATTGTTGTTTAACCTAATTAGCCATTAGAAGTCTTGGATTCAAAAGCATGTTTATTAGAAAGCCTAGATCCAAGCAATAGGATTTTGCATGGGCACATAGGAAAGATCTTATGGCTAAAACCCAACAGTAGATGGGTTTTCACTGTGAAATTGGACTCGAATGGGAATGTGGTAAAACTCAAAGCTAGGTTGGTGGCAAAAGGGTATACACAGAAGTATGGAATCGATTATGGAGATACGTTTGCACCGGTGGCAAAGATGAACACAATTAGAATTCTCATTTCACTTGTTGTAAATGAAGATTGGCCGTTAAAGCAGTTTGATGTAAAGAACGCCTTCTTAAATGGCTATCTTGAAGAAGAAGTTTACATGGGCCCTCCTCCAGTTGTTGATAGTCATGGAAAGGTGTGTAAGCTGAAGAAGGCCTTGTATGGGTTAAAGCAATCACCACGAGCATGGTTCGGACGATTCTCTACCTTTATGAAGAAGATAGGTTATAGACAAAGTGATGCAGATCACACTTTGTTTATAAAGACCAAGCCCGGGAAAGTGACGGCCCTAATCGTTTACGTGGACGATATGGTAGTAATAGGAAATGATAAAGAAGAAATTGAAAGGCTTCAGAAGATTTTGGCCACTGAATTTGAACTAAAGGACCTTGGAAGTTTGAAATACTTCTTAGGTATTGAAGTAGCAAGGTCTAAATATGGAATATCGATGAATCAAAGGAAGTTTATTTTGGATCTTTTAACAGAAACAAGGATGTTGGATTGTAAACCCATTGATACGCCTATTGAAGTGAATCATCACTTAGAGATGGTTCCTGATCAAGTGCCTGCTAACAAAGACCGTTATCAAAAGCTGGTAGGGAAGTTGATCTACTTATCTCACACACGACCTGACATAGCTTATGATGTGTCAGTTGTAAGCAGGTTTATGCATGCTCCAAGTGAGAAACATATGTTGGCTGTTTTTCGAATCTTAAGATACCTAAAGTCATCTCCTGGTAGGGGGTTATTCTTTGGAAAACATCAAGATCATAATGTAAGTGGTTTTACAGATGCTGATTGGGCTGGCGATTGTAGTAATGGAAAGTCCACTTCCGGATATTTTACATTCGTTGGAGGAAATTTAGTTACCTGGAGAAGTAAGAAACAAAAGGTTGTCTCTAGTTCTAGTGCAGAAGCTGAGTTTAGAGGAATGGTTCATGGAACTTGTGAACTTTTGTGGATTAAACACATCTTAAGGGATATAGGAGTGTCTCTAAGGGATCCAATGAAGTTGTATTGTGATAATGAATCAGCGATGAAGATTGCTAATAATCCAGTTCAACATGATAGAACTAAGCATGTGGAAATTGACAGACACTTCATCAAAGATCACTTGGAACGTAAGATAGTAGAACTTACACACATAGGATCGGAAGATCAAATTGCAGACATGTTGACCAAAGCAGTGTGTGGAAGGATTTTTCGTAGCTCTCTTGACAAGCTGGGAATGGTAGATATCCATTCTCCACCTTGAGGGGGAGTGTTGGCGAGAGCTGGATAAGCTCTAATTTTCTAGATAATTATCAACGGGTTGTATTTCCTTGTTTGTAGCATATAGATTAGAAGTTTGTTATTTTGTATCTGTATAAATCCTTATACCTTGTTTATTTATCATATATTGAAAATCTGGAAATCCTTTTCCTCCATACGTATTCTCTCAAGCTCTCAATTACATATGAAAAGAGGAATTTTTGAAAATGATAATCTAGTACTCATATCCCTTTTAAAACCCCATAGTAAGAGTTTTGGTCATAGGTTACAACCTCTTTAGAAATATGCATGTCAGTTGCCACTACACTAACCCCGTTGTTCTAATGAACTTTACATTCAATACATTTTGTACGAAATGTAAATCTATTGATGTCATATGCATCATATTTCATTACATTGGTGTTTGCTCCATGTGAAATCCACCTAACGATCTCTGATACACTTTCTTTTGAGACCGATAACTCTTTTTCAACTTGAATCATATTAGAAGGATAAGCTTCAACTCATATAAAAGAACGAAAAAAATAACTTCAATATGAAAATAATATACATCCTCTTGTAACCATTGACCAAACATTGTACTGTGCTCATTCTTTAGCCATGCATTTTGTTTAAATGGGTGTTGGTTTTCCAGAAATGCCTTGTGTCGACTGTAAATACATTGATTAATATTATAGTAGACACACAATATTATAAAATTTTAAAATAAATACATACATGTAAATAATACTTACTTAATATATGGTATAACTTTAGTTGTATTTTGCATTACATAGAAATATGCTTTGATGAAGAGGTCGAAAGAAACTTCAACCGATCGACATGCTGATATTGTAACCAACATAACTTTGCTTCTTTGATTTAGGAAGTCTAATACAATGCGTTTGTTCCCTACAAACTACATAACCTTTGTATCCGCTGTAAGGAAAACCACATATTGTACCAAGAGCATGGTATGGGGAATTATGGATATTAGCCTAGATCATATGGAGCATACTGCGAATGACCATTGGGATTGTGGTTATATGATAATAAAAATTCACTAAATGGTAAGAACTAATGCCTTTAGGGTATGGGGAATTATGGCTACCAGATTATGAGTAAGACTTAAGGCTAATTACTTATTATTTATAGCCCATTTAGGATTATGGCTATTGGATTACTACAAATAATCAAGATATTCACTGAAAGCGAATGACCTATGACTTTAGGGAAAATGAGATTATGCCATACAACTTAAGGCTAATGAATTATTATTTATAGGCCATTTGGGATTATGGCTTTATGCTTATCCTTTTGCATAAACCAAATTTTTTCGATGCGGTGCGGTTTTATAAATTCGTCAACCACTAAAACTAAATCGAACCTTACTATTATATTATATCCTAAATAAATTATATATTGATATTTTATATATAATAATAGCTATATACACTTAGACTACTTAAATAATGAATATAATATTTATTTTTATCAAAAAATTTAACAAAAAGAAAAAACAGTTAATATTTTTCAATGCATCCAAAAAATGTTGTCAACACAATACGAAGGACCAAAATGTGATTTTTATTAAATTTGGTAAATGCCTATGTTGATACAGTTTCAAATCGTTTGAGGAGGATATGATGAAATATAGGAACAATTAGAAACTAATATCAAATAGATAAATATGCTTTTTCGCCTCCAAAATCGTTATAGGGTTCAGAAAGGATCACAAGAAAATTTCAAGAATGTGTTTACTCTCCAAAATCAAGGCGGGAAGTCTTCATCTTTCTCACCGCCAAAACCATATCAAATCGATTTGAGAAAGGTATTGTTTAGATATTATGTATCATCCTTGAAATTAGGAACATATTAAATTCATCTCTATAAAGAAGATTGATTTATGCAGTCACTTTTATTATCTTCTCCATTGTGAAAGAAAATCAGTTGTACTACAAGTGTTCTTCTACCAAAATCGTTCTTTATTCAGTTGTAAGTCTCGATGAATGTTAACATTAAGTTTGTCTTTCATTCGATTAAAAATGTTACTGGTAGTATATTGTTCCAAATTATGCCATAACAAAAGGTGTGCTTATTGCACACGAAATGTTCAATGAAAAGCCTAAATCAATAATTTATGTTAAATATTATTGTATGGTATCATATTCTTTAATGAAATACTAATCTGATTACACTAACTTGTATGTTATTTTTCATGTTTAATTAAGCATTATGGAAGGACAAAACGCATTGATTGAATGTGACTATATTGGAAATGGAGGAGGAGGACCAAGATGATGGATCTGATCTAGATGATTCAGAACATGAAGACACATCTGATTACGCTTATAGCGATTCCGATCGCCATACAGAGACTACAAAGAAAATAAGGAAGAGGGGATTGATTCGATTGCCAAAGTTACAGACCGAACATACAAATTCTGATGGAAGAAAAAAACGTCTAAAGTTTGATGAATTTGGAAGGTTTGCAGGGAAGTATAAATCACAATTAACTAGTTATCTAGGAGACTTAGTACGGGAAAGGGTAGGAGTTAGTGTTTTCAATTGAAAGAAGGTAACAAAAGAAGTCAAGGAAAAACTATGGGAAGAGATAATAGTAAATAATGTTTCTTTATTCAGTTGTACGTCTCGATGAGTGTTAACATTAAGTTTGTCTTGCAGTCGATTAAAAATGTTACTGGCAGTATAATGTTCCAGATTCTGCCATAACAAAAAATAATTTTTTTGAACACCAGGTGTGCTTCTTGCACACCAACTGTTTAATGAAAAGCCTAAATCAATAATTTATGTTAAATATTATTGTATGGTATCATATTCTTTAATGAAATACTAATCTGATTACACTAACTTGTATGTTATTTTTCATGTTTAATTAAGCATTATGGAAGGAGAAAACACATTGATTAAAGATGTGTCTATATTGGAAATGGAGGAGGAGGACCAAGATGATGGATCTAATCTAGATGATTCCAAACATAAGGACACATCTGATTAGACTTCTAGTGATTCTAATAGCAGTACAGAGACTACAAAGAGAAAAAGGGAGAGGGGATTGACTCGATTGACAAAGTTACAAACTGAATATACAAATTCTGGTGGTAGAAAAAACCGTGTAAAGTTTGATGAATTTGGAAGGTTTACAGGGAAGTATAGATCACAGTTACCTAGTTTCTAGGAGACTTAGTACGGGAAAGGGTAGGAGTTAGTGCTTTCAATTGGAAAAAGGTAACAACAGAAGTCAAGGAAAAACAATGGGAAGAGATAATGGTAAATAATGTTTTTTATATATGTAACTCATATGTTATTGTTATTCTCCAATGCAATTTCATTCAATGACTAACATACTAGTTATTTGTATGCGTTTTTTATGAAATTGAAGATAGTCGAAGAAAATATATAATGAATCAGCTTGGTATCCTTCTACGGAATTTTAGAAGAAAGTTGTATGCAAAGTACATAGAGCCCAATTTAGGGAATACCACCAAGCTTAAAAGAATTCCTAAACGACAGCGTACAATAATTCTTAGCCAATTTCACTAGGACAAGTTTATTGAACAGACACAGATCAATTCAAGGTTAAATTCATTTTTTATATTCATTATCACATTTATTTTATATTTTCTTAAGGTAAAAAATACTTATAAGATATGTGAAATTTATTGTTTGGAAGGATACGTCGAGAAAGGCAATAGTAGCGCATTCGAAGTCGAAGTATAATCACCAAATGGGACGAGGATATACGGCTCTAAGAGAGAAACTGGTAAGTTCTATCTTTGATTGGATTGTGTATTTTTAGGTTTTTGTTTTTAGTGAAGCTCTCAAAGTATAAAAAATATGTAAAAGAGTTATTGATGGGTAAAATTAGAATTGAGTTATTAAAAATAAAGGATACATGTGGTTTGTTAGAAATTTGAAGAAGTTTATAACACATTATATATAATGTTATATACATAAAATTAAACATTTGGCTTTAATTTGTAAAGATTCATACAAACTTATATAAACGTGAGTTCGTTTTGTTTCATATGGGCTTTTATGTTAATCCACTTAAAGTAGACACTAGTTGGAAAATGTATATATATTTTTTTTATAGGAATAGGTACAGGCCTAATCAATCTTTATTAGATGACAAAATATTTTTTTTAAGGAGGCCAAAATTATCTGGCATGTTGTAGCACCTGGTTTCTGGTACGTAAAATTTATCTTAGTATTTTTCATTTTACCCTTGGAATCGGTGAGTTGCAGGTCCAACTCGCCGAGTAGAGACGGGATCCGGGAGCACTTTTAAGTTGGCGACTCGGCGAGTCCATATTCTGGACTTGGCGAGTCACCGCTATCTGTTGAAACCCTAAATTTCAAGGGTTTGCACCCTATTTAAATCCCTCATTTCCGCCCCAAGCTCGCCCCCATTCACTCTCAGAGCCCTATACTTCATTCAAGCCTTGTTCCTTGTGAGTTTGAAGCATTTGGTGTGTTTTCTTGAAGTTTTGGAGTGGGAAGGAACGTAGATCAAGAAGAAGAGGAGGAGGCCAGGCATCTTTGAGCTATCTCAATGTGTTCCTTAAGGTATAACTCGATTTCCCCCTATTTTCATGCTTATAGTCCCTTTTGGCTCCATAGAAGTCCTTCTTGAGCTTTTCCCCCAAGCTTGTTGTGCTTTATGGGTTGTAATAGGTTGTTAGCCTTTAGATCTAGGTGTGGTTGAGCTCCAGGAGCTTAGATCTTCCGTCTTTATGGAGCCATATTGCATGAAAGCCCTAGATCTACTATTTTGGTGCATTTTGAGCCCTAAAACCTTTATTTGTGATTATTTACACGTAAAGTTGGAAACTTTATGTGTTATTAATGCCATAGAAACCCAGATCTATGAATGGCATGAGCTAGATCCAAGCAGAATCGCGTGTATAGTCTTTGCATGTGGCCGACTCGGCGAGTCGTTCATCTAACTCGGTGAGTCGAGTCGCGAGTCCCCAAGTTTCCCCCTTTTTCGGATTGGCGGGTTGGGAGTAATGAGTCATTAGGTTTGACTCAATGGTTCGGAAGCTAGACTCACTCATGAAGTCACTCGGCGAGTCAATGCCATGACTCGGCGAGTTCCTGACAATCTTCTTGTCTCAAGAACAACTTAGCGAGTTGTTCATACAACTCGGCGAGTCACAACTTTGAGTGTTCTTCGGATGAAGATGAACTCGGCGAGTTGTTCATACAACTTGGAGAGTGGGATGAAGGACTATTGGCCTTGGGTATAAAAGGAAGACTCGTCGAGTCAACGCTTAACTCGACGAGTAGAGACGGATTTATGGTCAGACTAAAGGAATGGGACTCGGCGAGTTGGCAAGCCAACTCGGCGAGTCTGGTCAACCGGCAGTTGACTGTGACTTGACTCATGACTTGTTAAGGGTAAATGGACAATTTACCCTGAAGGCGGTTAGCAGTAGTTGACTGAGTATTTTGTGGGAATTATAGCCGGAGGATTTCTGGAGCGGCAACAGCAGCAGACAGTCAATTTCCACACAGATCGGTAGTTACTTTGAGGTGAGTTTCCTTCCAGTAGTAACGGGTCTAAGGCACCAAGGCCGGCCCGTATAGACGAGACGTTAGTATTAGAGTGTGGCCGGAGCCCGTATCTCTTAGTTGAGTTGATTATGATATATGCCAGTATGATAGAGTTGTCTATACTTGTTGTCTGTGTGATACATGTATGATATGGGTTAGCAGCTGAGTGTGGGCTAGGCTCGTATCTCTCCAAGAGTGGAGTGTGGGCGAGGCCCGTATCTCCCAGATAGTGGAGTGTGGGCGAGGCTTGTATCTCCCAGCTAGCGGAGTGTGGGCAAGGCCCGTATCTCCTAGTTGCATGTTGTATGATTGCATGGTATGAGGTATTATGGGGGAACTCACTAAGCTTCATGCTTACAGTTTTCAGTTTTGGTTTTAGGTACCTCTTCTTCGAAGGGGAAGGAGTTGGCGCGGTAGTGGTACATCACACAGACACACCTGCTCGTATTCCGCATTATGATATCTTCCTGGGAAATTGTACTCTGACAGTTTTATGATTATGACAATGTTTTTTGACATGCAACATCTTTTGGTGAAATGAAATGATTGTTGAATTAATTATTCCTAAATGTTTTGCTAAGTACATGTTCTAAAAACGAAATTTTTGGCTCGCATTTTTGGGATGTGACAAGTTGGTATCAGAGCCCTGGTTTGAGGGATTCGAACACATCTTCGAGGGTGTTTGAACTCAAATCGAGGGATTAAAAGATTTTGGAAAAAGGAAATGTTTTCTAAAAGGCTAGTAAAGGGTTCTAAGAAAGAACGAAGTGTGTGATGTGCGCGACCGGCCAAGCTCAAGTAAGTATTCCTCAAAGTACCCATACAAGCTTATGTTATGCTTATCAGTCTCAGTAGAACAGCATGCTAGAATAGGACTAAGGATCTAGGAGTGATGCCTTATGTGCCTGTTTTATGTGCTTCAGTGTGTGAAAAGTTGCATGCTATAATTGAGTAGACAGCAGTAGGATGGCATGTTTAGGTTATGCCGGATAGTGCGAGTTTAGCATTGTATGCTAGTTCAGTTTCTCTCTTCAAGGATAGAGTTGCTTGAGATTGTTTTTTTATGTCCAAATGTTGTTTGCTTTGTGCTATGTGGGCTTTGAAGTGATGGGAGTTAGCTGTTAGGTGAATACGATAAAGTCACATGTGATCAGGGTTGAATAATCTCAGAGTGTCGGATCTGACCCTATTGCGTAGCTCTTGTTTGAGTCCTAACCGTGGTAGGGATGAGTCCCTTACTCGAAGGATTATCTGAGCCTCGTCGCATGTGATTGTATTCAAGTAATAGCTAATTGGTATCAACAAGAGGCCTTCGGCAGCTGAGGACTAGGTTGGGTGAAGTCAGAGGTTTCCTAGGGTAAGCCTAGGATAGGAGTAGCAGAGATCAGCGGTAGTGAAAGGGACCTGGTGGAGTCAAGGCAGTCCTTGGAGAAGGTACAGATAGATGTGGAAGGTACTATGGGCCCGTACTACTGAAAGCAGAGGATCCGTACCTGAATCGAGGAATGCCACGATAAGACCCGGGAACTTGTAGTAAGTGTGATCCCTCCAGAGGTATCAGTATCGCTAACAGTTGTCATTTCTTTTGTATTTCAGAATGGTGGTACTACGTTCGAGGCCAGCAGTTGGTAGTACAGGAGAGGGATCAGGTTCGGGATCAGGTTCCGAGCCAGTAGATGAGGGGCTACACAAGTTCATTGCGTCTGAGATCACCAGAGCATCCTTGAGTCGACCCCCAACATCTTCAGGTCGATCAAGGAAGGGATATTGGAGTTGATGGAGGATCGCCTCCGGGCATTTAGAAGTGACATGGCATCTGGCCAGTCGGGATCTCGCACGCTGTCCTTCAAGGACTTTCGGGGCATTGGTACGCCGGATTTTTACGGGGTGAAGGACCCCATAGCTGCTAGATGATGGATTACCGACATTGAGTATGCACAGATGATTAGCTTCTGCCCTGAGGGGTCGAAGGTGAGGTTCGCAGCAGGGTGT